TCTACAAGTTTTTTGTTGAATTGAAATAAAGGTGTCATTTACCTTCGCTAGTGAACTTTTAAGACAACTAAAAGGCGTTCGATTTTTAAAACGGTTCTTTTTGATGTACATTACCTAACATTCGCTTGGGAAAAATACAAAATCACTGATAGAATGAGACAGAAGTTTTTTAACTAGGCAGTTAATTTGTCACAGCTGTCAAGTATTTAAATAAAAAACAAAGATGGTCTCTATTTGATTCTGATACTGAAATTAGAGAGCTATGCCTAGACTAGAACTCAGAATTCTACAATATAGACGGAACAAGCTTTTTTTTTATCATATAGTTAATAAAATTCATTCTAATACATACAGCGGTGTCATGCAGATGCAGCAAAAATAGTTTACTCAAAGCTAAAGCTAAATTAAATACTTAAATGTCTTTCTTGAGAAAATACACTAAGCTTTAAGTTGGATACGTAAGTAAAAATAAAGAAAGCATAAATTTACGTGCTTTAAGTATAAATGAAATTCTCGGCTGTTGGTCTGCTTTTAATAATTCTTCGACAATAATAACACAATTTCACTGCATTTGTATTATTGTCGGAAGAATTTTTCGGTAAATAAAATAAGCATAATTACATAATATAATTTACATAATCTATGTAATATTTCATTCTGAATTTATTCATGAATAGGTCAGACAACTAAATCAGTCAGAGATAGTTGCCTAAACAAATATTAATGCCTAAAATTAATATACTTGTTCATCACAATCTGTGCTTGACAGATTAGCATTAAATGTAGGTGTTATTTTTAGGTTATTTTTAGTATGTTCTTCATATAGATTCTTAACTTTCACAATTAAAAATTTGGAATCACCATTATTATTACTTTTTTTTAATATGTGAATAATTTAAAAATGAGCATATCTTTAGAATTTCCAATACACAGTCTCGCGTGCTGGATGTAATTTTTTTTCCCTGTACAGTTCCATTGCTCGCTTTGAAATCATTGACTCTGTTAATCAAAAATTCGTTGTTAAAGTTTTAAAAAATATGAAATAGGTAATAAAACAAATTTCAAATTCCATATTTGAGCTTCCAGATGACCATATTCGAGTGGAAATGTACGTTATTCAAGATTTGATGGCACTAGATACCGTCGTTTTATCACAATGCGAGAAACATACATACATTTATGCAGATTTTTCCATTATTTAATTTCTTTAAGTATAATACAGGGCTGTAATATTTGGTGGCAACAATTTGAAAAGTGAACAGACATTTATAGCTTACCAACGCAAAATGCCAAAAACGAAATTAATAGCCCTTCTGGGCTAACTCACTTTGGGCTTAAAAAAAAGAAAAGAAAGAAAACACGAAATTTATTTGGGAAGTAATGGGAAAAGAACAAAGGAAAAAATGTAATAAAAATGAAAGCTTTTTCCCATTTAACCATGTGTTTGCATCGTTCGATTTCCATACCTGGTTTGGCTGTGGTCAATTATATGCTAACAAAGCAAAGAAATCATCAGTTGTACCTCTCCCCACGTCTTTAAATATTTTCGTGATATGTAATAGAAGTTCCTTGGAGACTTTTGCATTTTAAACAAATTCAAAATTCTCCAAAAATTAGTGTCATATATTAATTTATTTTGAAACAATATCATATATTTCATTTTTTCCTGCCGTTTGGGATTGCTATTTTGATTAACTGGTTTTGAATGTCGAATTTCTAAAGATTAATTCTTAAACTAGTAGGCCTCTCGTAACTGCTTAGCTCAAAACTGTTTCAGAGCTTAAAAAATAGAATCTAAATACTTAGGCCAGACCGCAATTTTAAGTAATATTTATGATTTGTTATCCTCCTTAGCTGTTTTGACACTTACGTGTTATCACAACCACCTTCGTGTAAATTGCCAAATTTTCAGAATGACCCAAATTCTGGCAACTGCGCCCGTAAACATCCCTCATGAAACAGTGTTGATAAAATCCTTCAGTCAAGCGCCATTTTCATATGTGTTCTTTTTGCTGTATTCCAACGATTTTTATAGATAAATCCTGATAGCTTTTTCCGTCATCTCAAAATATCACTTGCAGATTTTGTCAGCAATGGAAGAAACTGCGGTACAAGTTCTGCAGGAATGCAGTAATTTGCTGTAAAATGGCTAAAGGAAACAACGCTAAGATGAGTTTGGTAGATAGCCGGTGCGCAATGCCTAGCTTGTGCAGATTTTTTTTAAGCGAAAACAGATCGGTGTGTGCACTGGGAGAAGAACAGAGCTAAAAATCAGAGAAAGATTTCGCAAAAATAGTATTTTATTTTTTAATTAGTTATACAATCCCTATTTAATATTTAAAATTTATATTTAAAATTTATATTTACAAATTTTTTTTAATGTTTTTATCATTTGTTACGTTGATAATGCTTGCCTACTTAACGATAAATATCGACAATTTGGGAATGTTTTTAAAAAAAGTCTCGAAAATTGTAAACTTGGCTCCAAACAGACCATTTTTACTTTTTCATCTGTAAAGACAGCCAAATTGCGCCAAGGTGTTGCATTAATACGTTAAGAATCCGTTTCTTAATATTTTTAGCCCGGAAATGCTCTTAATTTCGTTTTGGCATTTTGCGTTGGTTCACTATAAATGTCGTTCCAATTTTCAAATTGTTGCCACCAAATATTAGAGCTCTGTATTATACTTTAAGAAATTAAATAATGAAGAATCTGCATAAATGTATGTATGTTTCTCGCATTGTGATAAAACAACGGTATCTAGAGCCATCAAATTTTGAATAACATACGTTTCCACTCGAAGATGGGCATCTGGAAGCCCGAATTTGGAATTTGTTTTATTATCTATTTCATATTTTTAAAAACTTTAACGAATTTTTGATTAACAAAGTCAACGATTTCAAAGCGAGCAATGGCAACACTGTACGGGGGGAAAAAAAATTATCACCCGCACGCGAGACTGTGTATCGGAAATTCTAAAGCTTTGCTCATTAAAATTATTTCGCGATATTGCTGTTGAATTGAATTTTATGGTTTAAGTGAAAAGAACATGATATTTAATAAATAAAGGTAACACACAAAAGGTTAAAGAAACGCTTTAACGTTTCAGTCAGAAATCAGAAAGCAGTTCAGTTTAAACCAGAAAGCTTTCAGATTTTATTTTTTATTTTAAAGTTTTTAAATTTTAAGTGTTTTTTAAGGTGTTTGATTGTAATTTGAAGTGTTCAGAAGGTTTCTTTCTTTGTCTAGTTTAATTTAATTTTCGTTTTGAAAAGCTGACTAGGTAAAAAGAGTTCATGAATTGAGACATGACAGCATGCTTATGTTTCGGATGAATAGGCTTCACACATAAAGCTACTGTATTCTACGAATCAGAGTATTCAACAAATAATACGCTTCTTATATTCTTTCAAATATATGAGTGAATAATTTATTTAAAGCCATGGGATGGATATTAGCCTTGTTGAGTCAATTGATGCATTAAAAGTATTATTCTCCAGAAATGATTTATTATCTGGTCAGAGAGAGATGTGATTGTTTATATAACGAAAATTTTAACAGTATTAACATTAATTCTGTCATAGCTGCCGAAGTGAAGAACTACAAGCTAATGGATTCAGATTTCGAGTATTAACCAGAAGACTATTTAGCGGGTCCCCTCGATGTTTGCTTAGTTTTTAAGTAATTTTTATCTACATAAAACAGAGCATTTTTAGCTTATGTTGTTTTACGGCTCATTAATCTATCTAAAGAATAAATACGCACCCAGATGAAGCTCAAAGAGTAGATTATTTATTACGTGAGTAACAATATTATTTTTACAAAAATGAATGCCTGCCATCACTCTTCTAAGAATTACGTTTGTGAAATGTATCGTTTTTCCTAAATCCTCCTTTCAAGTTCATTGAGACACAAGCGAACTTGATGCAACCATGGAGAAAATATCAATACTGGAATTGGACTTGTGCCGCCATCTAGTGAAATCATATAAAAGCTTCCATAGGATTGAAAATAAGTTTTGTAGGAATTTCTTATCCTCTTCCTACTTCAATTAAATATTGTTTAATTCCCCCTCTTATCTATTACATGTTTGCTGATTTTATGTGCTACATTATTCTGAATAACTATCTCAAAATTCTGAAAATTAACATCGGTTTTTTAAATTTTAGTTCAGTTATTTTCTCTTATACTGCTAACACACGCAATAAATATAATATTACAGTTGTCACTGTTAGGAGGGTATATTTTGTTTCTAACGTTTTAACTAAAACACAATACAATGTTATAGGATTTTTTACTTTTTAAGTGCGTTATCAGTTCTGAAATTTCTTGATGCAAAATAATTTATAACTTAGACTCTAGTTTTTTAAACTTTAATAAACAATTAATTTTTCTAATAATTTAACTGTCCGGAAATAAGTCACTTTTTCTACGTGGTCGTATTTACAGTTAAGTAGGATAAGAAATTAAACAATTCATTCATTTGGACAACGTAATTTTTAAATTAATGCCCATCTTGAATTAGTACGCATGACCGTTTTTTATTCAAAGCTGTAAAAGCAAATAATATTGAAATAAAAAGGAACAATTTTATACAGCTGATTAATTTTTTAACATTTGGCAACAAATGCTGAAAAGATCGTCCGGAAGTTAATTAGTTTATTTAATATTAGAGTTTTTGTTTCAAAATGTTTATCGTCCTTGAAACATGTTACAGTAGTACACTGCTCTGTTTGCTTCTTTTACCTTGATTACGTAACATGTTATCATAGGTTACATTTACAAAAACCAAATTTGAAACTACTGCCAGTTGGTGGCGCCATCTGTTGGAGTTTTCTAAAACTAAACTGAAAAATTACTTGCTTTTTTAAAATTATATCTAATATGCAATTCAGTTTTGCTATTTTGTATTCCACTTGCTTGTAAATGCTTCCGTAAATACTTTAAATTATATTTTTATTCATATATTTATTTTATTCATAAAATGTATCTTTCTTAGGTTACATTTACAAAGAGGAAATTCGGATTGATGAAAAAAGCTTATGAACTGAGCGTTTTGTGTGACTGTGAAATAGCACTTATCATCTTCAATAGTACCAATAAATTGTTCCAGTATGCTTCCACAGATATGGATAAAGTACTTCTGAAGTACACGGAGTACAATGAGCCTCATGAAAGCAGGACTAATAGTGATATTGTAGAGGTTAGTAATGTTGCAGAAAGTAAAATCCACATTGATTAATTGGATTATTTGAATTAAAAAATTTTTTACTCAAATATGTATTTTTATATGAAGTTTTAATCTTAATTTATTACTTATATTCTAAAAGAAAAGGGTAAATTTAAGCAAATACGCAAAATATATGAATGAATTTCGAATGTTAAATACTTTTATCCATTCGATACATAGGATTTTCGATTCTGTTTTTTTTTTTTTATGAGTAATTTATGTTCTGAATATTTATCAATAATTACACATAGTCCTGTACGTCATTATTAGTAATGAAAAATATTTATTTTATATATATATATGTTTACTTAATGTTTATGACCAGATGCTATGAAAATATTAGATGCATTTATTTGAAATTTTTTGCAGCCGTTGTTTATTCCTACTTAATTAAATAAATTGTTACTTAATTTTTTTTGTTTTCAATTGTCTACAACTCATCTAATCTACTACTTGTAATAAATCCTTTTAGTAATTAGGGTCGAATAAGGTTAACGAATAAATTTATATTTCATACAGTTTATGGTTTTCTCAGAATTGCTCCCAGTTTATTTCAGTTGTAGGCGATACTCTCATTCTCGAGGAGTATTACGTCTGGTTAGTTATTAACGGTAATAAAGGTTTGATTTACTTTATTATATATTTTACATACCATCCGGTAAACAGAAGTGTGGACTTTCCTATTTAGAGCAAGTGTTAACATTCAGTAAGTATATTTTTATTATTTATTAGTCAGCACAATATTTCCATACATTGGACATTTACAGGTAAGTAGAAAACTATTTTAAAAGAGGTAATTTTTTTTTTTTCTTTTTCTTGTTGCTATAAATTTTGTCACTGAATATTTTTTTTATTTGTTCTGATCATTTTTGCATATTTTGTATGTGATATTTTGCTTACTTGCATGTGTTCAGATTTTATATTCTTACTTCATTCTGATAATTATTTTTCAGCACAAAATTTGACAGATGATTTAATTCTCATATTCTTTACATGCATAAATATGCCCATTTTGAACTATGTTTAATGTATATCTTAGCGAAAGCTAAGTTTCACTTTACGAATTAAATATCCACGAAAACTAAAACCTACAGTATTTTATATTGTTTATATTTTTTCGTTTGTATATTAGTTCGATGTAATACTTATGCATGTTATTAGAAAATACCTACAGCTTTGAATGTTAAGATTTTGTTCAACATTAACAAAAAAATTATATTATATAAATTAAAGCATTTGTAGTTTCTTTTGAATATCTAAATAAGTATTATCACATCAGCGTATCCCTTTAAGACAAACATAAACATTTGACTGATGTCTGCAGTAAATCTTTGTTAATGTTGTGAGTAATCTCACTTTTTTGACCTAATCATAGTAAACCCACGAAATTTTATCGTGACAAGGAGTATAAGATTACGGCTGTCTTTGACAAGAGCCTTGAGTACTATACAAGAGACAGGTATGATTTCGCCCCAATTTTGAAGGAGAGCACTCCGGAGGTTGGGTCCGAGAGTCGCCCCATTTCTCTTTCACTATCACCAACCTCTCGAGAGGACTTTCAGCTAATCGTATATTTTTAATGCTTCCATGGTGCTAAGACACTATGCATTTACAAACATCCATGCTTTCTTCGGGATTCGATACAGCAGCCAGCATCGCAAACCACTTTCCGGGCTGGGTAGCCAGTAAATCTTTAAAAATAGCTTATAAATTTGAGTATTTAAGTTTAGTTTATCATTTAATTGCTGACTTATTATATACTTTTAAATAAAAGTACCTAGTAATAGCCAAAATGAGTGGTGGTACGTAGAAATAGCTTTTAAAAACGGTTGTGGTGCGTAGCACAAAAGTTAAAAAATATTTTAATGGAAGATTTCTTTCTATATCACTAAGTACTTGTCTGTTGAAATGTTTACCTTCGTGCTTTAACTTACTGATGCAAGTGAAATTTAAACAGATGATAATTTAGTATTAATGAGGACAAATTCATGTCTGTGATTTTGAAAATTTATACTTTTGTTATCTGTAAATGAATTTCGAGAAAATGAAGTGCTATTTTAATAATATTAGTCTGAGAAATATTAATTAAACTTTTGAACAAAATTTTTAATATGGAAGTTTCAATACTATTAATACAATTAAAAAAGTTCATTAATTTATATATGCTTGTAATAGGAATGAGATGAAATACATAGTACACATCTGTTTATCTTACTCTGATTGCGAAATTTCTTGATATTTATGCGTTTGTTGTTTTAACATGAAATCTTGTTTCATTAATTTTTTATTTTCAGGCTATCTGTTTATACTATGAACCTCATTTTTACTATTATACATGTATGTATAAAGATTATGTCTAAATTTAAGTATGGAAAATGTTCTGTCTCTTTACTGCATTCATTTTTTTCAGGCGATAATACTGTTACGAAACTTATTCTTCTTGTCTCCACATAACATCATCACCTTTTCGATATACTAGAAATTATGATGCATACTAATGCGATGTTTTAATTTTTTTACTGAAAAGCCCTATAAGATATAAATCTAAGGAACACCAAAAAATAACCCCCCCCCCCCCAAAAAAAAAACCTGAAATATAAAAACCATGCGTGAAATAATTCTACAAAATGAACCAATAAATAAAATGAACTTGGACTCGTAGCCTTTATACTGAAGTATAAACAACAATAATTTTTAAATTACCGAAAAGCAGTTTTTAAAGAGATTTGTGCGGAAAGATGCGGCGCGAAATCTTTTATGCCTTTCTTTATGAATGTTTTGGAAAAAGGATGTATTTATTGAAAAGAGATATTGTTAGTGCTTCTTCTTGTATTTTGATTTTGAGTAATTATCAAATTATTATTGTATTCTGAATGTTTTATAAGGTTACATGTGACAGCGATTAGGATCTCGAGTTATAGTATTTTATTTTGACAAAAATTTGAGATCATTATGCTCCTTTTTTGAGAAGGGGGAGATCGCGAGAAGATTTAATAAATATCCCTATTTAAAATCATGTTTTATTTAGCTTTTAATAATTTAGTAACATAGATTTTTATATTTTATTGTAAATGGAACTATATTTGATACTAATTCAGGTACTTACGTATTAACGCAACCAGGCCAAAATTCGCATAAATCTCCAAATTTGGCGACCCTACTTACGGCAGCCCTACGTGTTATACGTAGTTTTGTAAAAAGAAAAAATAACACTGGGCGTGTACTACCACAGCAATGGGTTTTCGGCGGAATTTGCTGCGAAAAAAAAGAAAGAGATTTTTTGGTTACTGTACCTAACAGAAGCGCGCCGTTACCTTCATGGAAAAAATTTGCGAAAATATCAAGGAAGGAAGCATCATTTATTCGGATTGCTGGAAAGGATACAATACAAGTGAGTTCGAAATGCTGGATTTCTGCATGGAACTGTTAATCACAAATATAAGTTTGTGGATCCAAAACACGGGCGTTCACACACAACATGTAGAGCGCATGTGGCGCTCAGCCAAATGGCGCAAAAAAAAACAGAGAGGAACAGCCCGTCATCATCTTGACTCATACCTTATCGAATTTATATGGCGTCAAGCTCAAGCTGTTAATGGCGAAGACGGTTTTCAATCAGTGCTAAAAGCAATACCCAAAAGATTTCCGCCGAAAAAAAAAAATTCTGCAACTTATTCAAATTCGAAACCGGAAGGGTTTAATTGCTATTTTATATTTTAAAACAAAATAATTATAAAAACTGTATTAAAAATTATCTGTAATTAATAAATGTACATTTTCTTTCTATTCATACTTTTTTACTCAAACTTACAAATCGCGCCAACCTGGTTGCGATAATACGTAAGTACCCTAATGCACAAGTTAAACAACAAAAATCATATATTTACAAAATTTTCACAGGACTAGTTTCGATGGTTTTACCGAACCACCATCCTCAGCTGCAAAACCGCAAATGGAACTATATTTGGTTTAAAATGATCAACGGAACTAAAATTAGTTATTTTAGTAATGATTTCAGGTGTGCTAGTTACTTACAACTGGGTCTGTGCTCTTTTGGAGAGTATTATTCAGACCATTTCTTCATTCTATAGTAATACTAAAAAATTTTCAGAAGCCCATGTTATAAGTGAAAAAATTTAATGAATTCATCATATTTTCCTGGATATAAAAATTTATCCTTCTCGTATTGTGTTTCTGTAAACCCGTCTTATATGCGAAGTTTATCGCTTAAAAAAATACATTAATCTGTTATAATTTCATAAAAAAAAAGATTTTCAAGCATTTCCCTTCTTGATTTTACCTCAAATTACAGTATTTAGATAATTTAAATAATTTCCTAATAGGACTCTTTCAATACTATGATGTTCATGCATGTCGGGCCATAGTAAGTGCATGGCAGTTTCCTTTCTTATAAAAGACTTCAAAACAGGTCATCATATATTTGGTCTAATTTGAAAACTGAAATAATTTCTATTAAGAGAATTTGACCACAGAGGAGTACGACGATAGGCATATATTTTTAGCCAAGCCTTTAATTATTTATCATAAGCTATAGCAGTCATTTACTTCAATTAATTAAGAGTATAAATAATTATTTATAAATATTTATTTATAAATAATTATTTACCAAAAGTTATTGGAATAATTTACTTATATTAAACAATAAAATGAATAGCCATGAATACAATACGATACACACTTGATGTAATGAGAATGGTTAAGCAGCATAGTATTTTGTTATGTTTCCGTATGATGCCCGGTGAATAGAAAATTCCTACAGTATGGTAATTTTTAGATTTACTTAGGATTGGAATCGGTGATTCTAAATTTTTTAAGTAACCCATTCTGCTAGTTTTTCTTTTACTATTATCAAAATACTGGTTCAGAAATTCGTGGGAAGCTTTGTTTAAATATTAACTCCATTTGAAACATTTTTGTCAGCAATTTCAGTATCAGCATATTAAAGAGTGCACGTTTACGTGCATCATTTTTACATTATTTACATTAACTTTCTCTTTTTGCCTATTTTAAAGAATGAATTCATAGAAAATGTTTATATCATAGTTTTTATTTTTATATTATATTTACCTATTTTTAAATAAATTATGTTGGAAATCTTCGACATCCATGATCAGTTATGGTCATGTTGCAAAATTAAATAATGATAATAATAATAATAATCACAACTTTATAACGTTATGTTTAAGACTAGATAACACGTACATATATTAATTATATTAATGTACGTACGTAACATGTAACAGAGAAATAATTTCAATTATATGTAATATGTCCATTCATATGGGAAGCTTGTTTCATTTTATTCATTTTTGAAAATATTTCCCTACTTTTTATTTAGTCTAAAGCAAAATGCCTTTATTTAGTCTCTGTGATTTTATTTAGTCTTTATGATTTCTTTTTCTGACAGTTTATTTTCTTCCTGCAGAATCAGTTATTAAATATAATAAATTCAGAGATACCTCCCAGTCAAATGTAGTAAAGTATTCTTTGTTAGAGCCTTTAATTTAAAAAAAAAGTTTTATTTTTGTCAGTTTCGGGTTGCGCGTTTTAAAACGAGTTTTTAATTATTCATTTCACACTTCTGGTTTTTTTAGTAGAGGCTGGAATCAAAAATTTTCCTGTAATGTATTATTCGGTTTTATCATATGCCAACATGTTTGCATTCATATTGGTTTATTGTATGAGTAATACTGTTTTTGGCAAAAATAAAAATTAATCTTTTTGCACTAATAATTTTTTTCAGATTGCGATTAAGTTTGGAAATAACTATAGTAAGATTTATAACTATAGTAAGGTTTATAACTATAGTAAGGTTTATAACTGTAGTAAGGTTTATAATTATAGTAAGGTTTATAACTATAGTAAGGTTTATAATTATAGTAAGGTTTATAACTATAGTAAGGTTTATAACTATAAACTATAGTAGTTTTTTAAATTACTAAAACGCATATCAGTGCCTCACTAATAAAGAAATATGAATGTTTTATAATTAAGTTGTATTTACTGATGTAATTGTGGAAAATTTTTACAACATTTTTTAATGAAATTAGTTATGAAAATTTTCCAAAATTGCAATCTTAAATCACTTTCTTAACTTTCTTCTTCTTTTCTTTCTTTTCTTAACTGAATATTTCGAAAGACTAATTTCTGTCTGCCATTCCTTCTTTCAACGTTTAACAAATTGAACATATTTTCTTTTCATTTTTGTCTAACGAAAATATACCTTATTGAATTAATCAAAGAAATTAATTCACACCTAAAAATTATAAGATTTAGCTGTCTTAAGTATGTTATGTTACGATCAATGTAATGTTAAAATTTATGCATATATTTTGAAAGCTATAAAATAGTTTATTGTTAAATACATTTATTTCAAGGCTATCTGCTGACAACTTTTGTAGAAACGTAATAAAATTTGTTAAAAATGCAATCTATTTATGAAAATTTTTAGGAAGCTTTTACTTACTATGTATGTCTCAATTTATATTCTGTCCCTTTATATTTCATTTCAGAGCTGTGCTGAATGGAAAATTATAAAGATTGTTTTTCTTCTGTTTAATTTTAGTTTTTCTCTCATGAAGTTTATTTTATGTATTGTTTGATTATAGGCTTTAAGTAAAAAAGAACACAAAAATTCAACCAATGGTTGTGATAGTCCTGAGCCTGATCAAGAATATGCTTTAACACCAAGGACTGAGTCCAAGTACAATAAGATAAATGAAGAATTTGAAATGATGATGCAAAGAAATGTTCAACTGAACGGAAATCGAGTTAGTTTATACTTCTGTATTACGCGTGACTCATTTTGAAGTGACGAATTCAAACTTTATGTTTATAAATTATTTATTCATTCATATTTCCTCTATAAAATTTCATTGTTGTGATTTATGTAGTTTGAAAGAAATACAACTGCTGTATTGGCAAATTTTTTGTTACTTTCTATTTTAACTCACTTTTTCTCTGCTCATTAAGAGGAAAACTATAAGATTTCGTAACCTTTAAAAATAAAGAGATTGTTCTATTTGAACGCGTATGCATGATCATTAAAAAGAACAGGTAAATAAAAGATGAGAAGAATTATAGTCTAAGAGGTAATCGGGAGAATTAAAAGTTCTTAATGGTGAGATAAACGAAAACGAATTGAAAAATCTGTGTTCAAAAGACGTTTTTTTTTTTTTTTTTTTTTTTTTTTTTTTTTTTTTTTTTTTTTTTTTTTTTTAGTATGTGTATGTTTTTGTGTGTGCTCGTTTCTGTTTTTTCATTGTTAATTACTAGCAGTCAAATAAAAAGTAATATAGTAAAGTGTGTAACATTATTTTTGCACAAGGTAATTAACATTATTTTTTAACTACAATAATAGAATCCAAAGTTATCTTTATAACATAAGAGTGTATTTTATTTTAGTTTTATGCAACGCAAAGCGTAATAAATTTTAAAACTTGAAAATTTTTATTTGACACTACATGATTCGAATTAGAATATTGGAAGAAAAATCCTTACTGAAAATTTTCAGCATTTTGAAATAAAGATTCTTAATGATTTTTACGATCTTTGCAAAAACCATTAGTAATGGTACTAATGTTTTCTGCAATGGTAGTAATGTTAATTAGTACCCCTACAAAAATTAGTACTATTAATTAATTAATTATTTATGTTAGTAGTGTTAATTAGTTAATTTTGCAATGTACTATTGCAAGAAACATTAGTAATATAAAAATAATTTTTATTTTCTTTTATCTATTAGTTACGTATATAGCCTGCTCTAGAAATCACCCTAAGTAATGAGATATCCTCTTACAAGCAATTTGAATTTGTGTAGCATACGCACTACTGAAAGCGTTTATTCCCAGCAATCGTATAGCCTTTTCTCAATAATTCTTTTCGGTCAAACACATTTTTAATACATAGTTATAATTAAGACAATTTTTTTCATTTGGGGACTTTAAACTGCGTACGGACAGTAATTCGCTAATAATCCTATGATCGTCGATTTGCAGTAATACACATTTAACAAGGTTAGAAGTTAAAACCTTGTTAAACCATTATGTTTAAATAGGCTTCGATGAAACAGAGAAAAATAAACAGTTTCCTTTGTTGCGTGTTTTCCAGTGAAAGCGCTGTGTATTTAGATGAATTATTGCGTTTGTTTAATTCTCGAAACATTTAACAAGGAAAAATTTAAGACACTGAAAGACACACTTTTTCTCTTGTAGTGATTTTTCAATCACACTGGTAAGTTTAGGAGTCGATAGCACGTTTTTCCCATTCAGAGATATTTTCTCATACAATTTTTAAAATATTCCATCCTATTACTTTAATTCTGCATTCTTTACCTTAAATATTACTGACTGAATTAAGTAATCCCACCTCATTGCTTTCACTGAAAAAATATTACTCCACATTTTGGTTTATATTTAACCCTTTGGACTCCACTGATGGTGCCATGACGATATACGAAACAACTTAGGCCGCCATTGAAAATCAAACCCCGGAAGAATCGACAAATGTTCTGTTATGTTTTGCTACAAATATTCTCTTTCGCAGCTGATGAACGGTATGATATTGTAGAGACATTAGGAATTTTTTGAAAGCAGCAGAAGAGAGAAATGTGCAATGCCCTTCCCGGGACTCGAATCTCGGACCTCTCGAATACGTGCCGAGTGTGCTGACCATTACACCACGAAGGCATATTAAGAAGGAGGGAGAACTACCTTATATACTCCCCCCTTTTAAAGGGCGATTGGGTATTAGGGGACCCAATCGCCAAACCATCCACCAACTTTTTCAGTTCGTGTGCCACCGCAGAGATACTAGATCACTTCGAAGCAGGAGAGATGAAAAGTGAGCAGTGCCCTCGCCGGGACTCGAACCGCGAACCTCTCGAATACCCGCCGAGTGTGCCGACCGTTGCACCACGAAGGCATGCTAAGAAGGCAGGAGAAATACCTCATAATATTACGGAAAATGAAGATATTTCAATCATTGTAAGGATCATTTCTCGCTGTAAGTGTTAAGTCTATTTCAGTTCTGCATCACATTTATTCTATGAAACATCATTTTAGTGAGTAGGGAATTATAAATCGTTGAAAAAACATCGTTTATGTACCAACACTATTATAAAATGTGTTTAACGTATACTTTCAGTGTACAATTTATTTCGTGAGTTAATACCGTTTCAGATTTTAATTTACTTTATTCAGATTTTGGATAATAATTTATGATAAATACAATCCGTATTTAATTTTGTATTTTAATATAAAAACTTGAAATGCTCGCAAAGGCAGCGCGAGTAATTAAACTATTATATTATTAAAGTACCACCCAGGAATTAATATAAATTCAAGCATTTTATATACATACTTTAAATGCTTATATATATTAAATTAAATTAGAATCCTACGTCTGAAAGAAATTATTATTGTTAGAAACAGAAGATAAAAATTATTCTTCAAGCTCTGAATAAGAAACCGTGTTATTTATTTTGGAGAATAATTGATAATCTTAATATTATAGATAACTGTCTAAAATGATTTCTCGATAATAGCTTCTGTGTGAAATTACTTACCTAACCAAAGGGACAAGAGAAACTCTATTTATAATCGTTTAAAAAATAGTTTGTTGAAGAAAACTGAATGATCTGTTCATCTGGCTCGTGAAAGCTAGTCTGTGGGAAATTTAAAATGTTGCGCTTATGTCTTAACTTACAGTATGAATAACAATATACATTGTGATTAATTTTGGGGATAAACAAACCAATTAAGCATTCAATAAAATAACGTTTAATATCTTTCGATGATATCAGTAATTCTTAATAATAATCCGATAACAATGCTAAATATCGGCATACCTAATAAAAATTAATAATATTAAAATAAGCGTTAAACCTTGTTTGTCAATTTAGAAAACATTGTTTCTTCAATAAAGTAAATGTTTGAATTATTTATTACAAATAATGAATGCTGATATTTCAATAAGAATAGATTTTTCTTCGCTGAAGTAAAATTTATTTTAAATAGAAAAGTATAGTCAGATTTCTCAGAATCCACTATATCTTGAAACCTATAAAAACTTCACATTTAAGCAAAATTTGAATTTTCCTTGAACTAACAAGCACTTATCTAACATCATTAGATGCATGGTTTTATTTTAGGAATTGCTGTCTTAAATGAAAAAGTAGGAAGTGTATAATATTCTTTTATATAGGGACAGCCATCTCTAAGTCAGACATTAGGCCCAATGTCAGTAACACCACTGAATAGCAGCTTTTTAAACCCAAGTGCAGAAAGTCTAATGGGATCTTCTCAAATTCCTCCTCACAGCAACATAAGTCCTAGACCTGGATCTTCAGGTAAATGTTTTGTTTTTCGTGTAATTTTAAAATTAATTTTGTTAATCATTTCAAACATCTATTAAACGCTGAGCATTTCGCAAAGTATCCTATTCATATCTTTATAATTTGCAAATCATAAAAGCAACGTTTCTTCCGGAAAGAAGGTTTGTTTTAAATACTTTAAATGTGAAACTAAAGTTCTCTAAATCGTAATAGTATTGGGGGATTTATAATTCGTTCTTGACTCTTCAGAAGTCAAAAGAATATATTATGCGGCGCAAGTAGTACAACTAAATGTATAATTAAAAAAATCTTTCGCTTTCTCCAGTTGTATTTGAAACATTCAAGATAAATTAACTTTCTGTTAAGACATTGGCATAGCATCTGTAGCAAATGTAGCTTTTTTTATTGCGCAAAATATTTTGTAAATGGAAAAACTGATGTGTTATTACGTTGATGAAGCATTTTCATTCGAAAAATTCTATCAGATTCAGAAATAGTTACTTGCAATCCCAAATGACCCACAGCATATCCTTGAAACATGTTCTTTCAGAAACAACTCGAAAGACTAAATCTTAGGCGCTAAATTTTATTCGCAGATCCAAAATATTGAAGCTAATGAGATGTTGTTGGTAGCTTAAGTTATTAGAACGAAAAATAAGATGGCCAGAACTCTCCTTCATCAGTTCAGTCTATTACGGATTTCTTCTTGAAATCCAATACAATCATCATTGTCAGCCATTTGAAGACGGTAACCAAGGTATGTTAGCGAAGTTGAGTGAGTGGGAGTTGTTGCAAGCGTTTTTGAATCTGATAGGCCTATAAGATGTTATGCAATGCCAAAGTCGCCAGATGAGATAAAAATTTCCATTCAGTTACCTCTCATCATTGTTGACATTCTCTAGCCTAAATCATGACTTCCAGGGAACTGAAATTTTGTCTTTAAACTATCATTTCATTTTATACTAGATAAAAAAATGTTTGTCTTGTAAGTCTATTTACCAACACATAATATAAATAACCAAATATCGCACACAAAATGCGCACTTATGACTTGGTATAAGTTATTAAAATCTCCATAAAACATTGAAACAACTTATTTGTATTATTTAGAACTTTTTATAAAAATATAAGGTCTAATAAAACGCATTATAAGTCAGCAAATATTTTCAAATAAGCTTAATTTTGTATCTTAGTTCTTAGGTATCTGTATTGCTTGTTGAAAAAAAAAAAAACATGTTTAAATCAATGTTGCTTGAAAAAGCATGTTTCGATCACATTATGACCGTATATATTATTTTTTAAAGGTCTTCTTGACATTAATGGCGTCACTGCTAATGGTTATCATCGTTCAATTTCACCATCACTTCCCGGAAACAGCTCTCCAATAATGATGAATAAACAAGTAAACAAACAGCATTCACCACCAGGAAACAGATCCAATTTACGTGTTGTTATTCCTAATTCTCATGCCAATTCTACAATGGTATGTGTTCTTTTATTTTCATTTGCATAGTTTTATGGTTATTTTAATGTACAGATAATGTAAGCATGCGCACAAAGGATTACTTCACATGCTGATCGCCATGTCACTCTATTATGGCGAATGGGTAGTTAACGCAGGTGCTGACAGTTTTATTCATTAAGTTTCATTCATTAAATAAGGTATGATGTTGCAATTAATTTGCGATAGTTTTCAACACAGCAAAAGTATTTAATAGCAAAAAACACAAAAACAGTATACAAGTGTTTCTGACTCTAAAAAAATTACAGTCATCATTAATGATATTCTTCCAGATAATTTAAACAAAATTATGTCGTTTCGGAGAAATAAAAAGCAATATGTTTAATTCTTTTGATGTTCATTTATAGCTTTATGTCGATCTATAGCCTGCTTTTTAGTAATGAAAAATATATACACGTCCGGCCGTTTTCCCTTCCAAATCTTTTCTTAACATTAGATTTGCTACATTCTGATGCATGTTACCAACGCTGTTATTTCGAAGATACAATTACTCGACTTCTAGCCCCTCGATGACTGTAACCACAGCATTAGGTTCTAAAAAATGCGCACTCATAATGCTGAACACGTAAGTTTAACAGATTTTGCAACTTTTATATTTAAACTATCTAAATTCAATAATTTCAATTTATAATATTTGTTAATTAGTATATATATTTACATCCCTGGCAGTTTTCAGGTAATAATTACACAATATCAATAATAAATGACGTTAATAACGCTGTAAAATGTCCCTTACATATTTTTTCTTAATTTAAAGTTGCACCTTTCTGCAATCGGTGCACATAACAAACCTGAACTCTGCCCTTTTCGTGTGTTGCCGAAAAAGCAAATATTCTCTTCGATTTTTTTTAGGGGTAAGGGGGTAGTGATAACTTAAATCGTAAATCAGCTCTTTCCTAAAATCGAAGTAACGTAAAGTGGCCTTTCATAAAACTGGGGATACGTTTAGTAGAGATTGAGAACCAGAGAATGGATATACAAAACTAACTCAGCTCATGACGAAAGTAAAGCAGACATGGGTGAACAGCAGAGCTATGACAGGCAGAACGCTAGCCATCAACGTTGATGACAAGATTGAATTATTTTAATTGGATTAAATTTAAATTATTTTAATCTAATGTCAATTAAGAAAAATGGCTTTTTATACTAAGCGATTGTGACTTATCTCACTTGTCTGATAGTAACATCAGAACAAGCCCACGAAATTCATCGTAGCAAGGAGTGCAAGTTTGCGTCTTTCGTTGCCAAAAGCCTTGAGCACTATACAGTTGACAGTACAACTTTGCTCAGTTCCGCTCCCAATTTTGATGGAGAGTACGCCGGGAGGATGGGTCCGAGGGTTTCCCACCCCCTCTTTCCCTCCTACTAACCTCTTGAGAGGACTTTCGGCTCGCTGCATATTTAGAGTACCCCCATGCCACACAGACACTATACATTTACAAACATCCATGCCTTCTCCAGGACTCAAAACCGGGCCCTTCGGTACGGCAGTCAAACACCATCGCTGTTGGCAACTAAGAGATATTTAAGAGCATTATAATTGTAATTTTTCTTTCACAAGCAGCTTTCTTTCATAATCTGCTTTATTATTTTCTGTGTGTTTTTTCATTTTACATAATTGATAAATTATGTAAAATGAAAAAACGCATGCGCATTCATATTAAAAAATTAAAATTTGAAAAGTTAATAATTTTTCTATTATTATTATACATAAATTTGTTAATGGATGATAAATTTATATAATATTATACATACTTGAAAACTGAAAATGATGAACTTTGCATTTTACGCCTCATATAATTATAAATATATATTCATGTAGTTACAAATTTTTATTAGAAGTCTATTATATTTGTCATTATTTGTTATCTTTAAAAGCTGTAATAACATGATGCCGTATTTATCACTATATTCCATCATGAACCAATAAAAGTGGTTTAAATTCTTAAAAATATATAAAGTAGATTTTAATGTTTATTATTTAAGTTTCTCAAAGGCAAGAATGCAATTAGTGCAGATTTCGTAGCATTTAGAAAAAAATCGCATTTAGAGAAGAAGTTTCTTATGTTACTGAACAGCTTTGTTATTCACTTCTTCCGTTTGGAAAGCGCTAAGAATCGGAATATTTAAAAAATTATAGGGAAAAAAAAGGATCCTTTCTTTCTTATCGGATGAATTGATCTAAAATCATAAATTCTCCTCTGTTAGATATTATCACATCGTTTACTGTTTTTGGAATATTCTACAACATTTGCTTAGAAAAATAGTAGAAATATATAGCAAAATAGTAATAGAAACAGTAGAATTTATTCATTCTCTTCAAGACGGAATCTGACTGTTCAAATATTATGTCTGATATATTAAAATTACTTTATACACACACCATTAATAATAATAATAATAAATTATGTTACTCCGTAATATAAATATAAAGAATATTCTTCATTACAGTCTTTCAAGTGTACCGAATTTTCTCTTGTATAAAATCCCGTATTGTTATGTATCATATAAAATCATGTGAACTGAATATTATTGCTTAAAAATTATGCAAGTACTTTTTCTTATCCATATTTTCTCACAATTTTATTACTAAAATGTTTCAATCGGCATTTTGCATGAATTCACAAAAATAACATAAGTAAGTCATAACTTTTTTTACATTTGGTATATCGAAAGCATTTTCAAACAAATAGTTCATAAGTTTCCAGATGCAAAAAATACGTCAGTAATATTCGCATGCAGTTTCATTATTTTAGTATCATCATTTAATAGTCATACAAAAAATCATTTGACTAGGAATACATTTCATTTTTATTTTATGCAAATAATGTTATCAGTTGGCTAGTACACGAAGCTTGACACTATTTTCTAGAACATGAATTCTGTAAGAATCTGTGAATAAATATATCTTCTGAAACAATTTGTATCGATCAAAACTTTTTTGAACAGTCTGCATATCAACGCTCATCAGTGAAGCCTTTATTAACGGAATGCTTTCTATTAAACTGATGCTTCATTTTTAAAAACATACAAATTTCTGTATTTTGTTCTTCAATTTGTGAATGATCCCTGAATTTTCAGCTATTATGATCTGCTATTTTAAAATTAAAGATCTTAGCCAATTTTTGTCGTTTGTTTGCTTGCTTTGTTTTTTAAAATGAGTATATACGTCTACTAAGTCTAATTTTTGGGACCGAGGTACCGCATAAAAAGTTAGATTTTGTAATTTTGATAAAACTTATTTATTAAATATAAAAATTCCAAAAAGTTAATATTTGTGGCACTAATACTTTTTATACTGGAAATATATGTCTACAGCTAACAATTACGAAATTATAGACCGTATAAGGGCTGCTTTACACATTATAATTTTATTATTACTTACCTTCGCCACTATACGCCGCTTCCTTGTTCTCACGTTCATAAACGTTCACTCGCTTTTTCATCCTAGATGCTTTTCCGCCAGAAAATGCACATATAACTGCCAGAAACTGGGCTAGTTCCATAGCTCATTATCTCAAATTATGTTTATTAAGCTAAAGAAACCATAAGTCGGATTTTCTTATTTTGAACATACACTGCCTTAGCAATCAATTGGAATCGAAGCTAAGAAATTTTCTGTAAAAAGAGTAAAACCTCTCTCATAGCGATTATGATGTGATAAAATGTGTCCGTTAAAATCTGCATAATGGTACAGAAATGTGACCGACATTAAAAGCACCTAAGAACATAGAAACCACATTGACGACCCAATTCTAGGCCACTGGAAGGGTTGTCATATTCTGTGATACCTAATACTATTTTAATAGTTTAGTGATTTTGCATCAATATTTGCCGCATGAAAGAAATTTGTAATTTTTTTAAAATTTATGATCAAGAAAAATAGATATTTGTTCTAGAATTTAAGTGATCAAAATGCATTTTGATCTAGAATTTAAGTGTTTTAAGTGTAGTTCTAGAATTTAAGTGATCAAAATTATGGTTAATTAAATACAAATTTTCTTGCAAACACACAGCTACTTTTCGAACTTGAATATTTCCGCAGGCTTCGTCAAGAAGTGGGTCTTAACGACGTCGGAACAAGAATGCTGCTCATAGGATTTTTGTCAGTTCTGTTTTGTAGCCTGTATCATTTACGAACACATTACCAAGAAGAGTGTTATCAAACTGCCGTTTCAGTGAGTGCTAGGAAAGCTGGCTATACGGGATTTAGAACGGAAAAATAGAAATACGGGTTATCCGTGCTTAATTTTCTAAAAAATATAATAAATCTTATGTTAAAATTTATTTTAACATAAGGTACATGGTACAGGCTGAAGCAAGATCGGTACTTATGCATCCAAATAGGCATATTAGGTTGCTTATTAACCGCGGAATGACGAGAGTGAACACAGCGGGCTGTGGTCCGGCGGTCTCCTGCCCCGCTTTCCCTAACACCAACCTTTCGAGAGGTTTTCGACTCGTCGTGTATCGGCCCCTTGCCGCACAGGCACGATACACTTACACAGGGCACAGACACGTGTTTTGGCCTCTTGTCGCATAGACACCATACACTTACAAACATCCATGCTTTTTCCGGGATTCAAAACCGGGCCCTTAGGCACAGCTGTCAGCGTCATGAACCAGTATCCCGTTGGGCGGCTATTTTAGCATACAGGAGCTATCAGAAAAACAATAACTGTTTTTTGATCTCAAAAATCCAGAATGCCTTGAAATTCCGTATTTTGTTTCCTTTCGCCGCTTCTGAAAAGAAATGCAACTTTTATTGAAGTTAATTCTTAGTTCGTAGTTTTTGGTGCTACCATTTTGAAATGGAAACATCTCGCATCTAATTTATCATTAACAGTTTGTGAAATATAGATTAGCATAAGGTTCAGTTACGGCAATAGAAATGTTTTGCAATGTAAATCTTCTCCAGTGGTAAATAAAGCATTAGATTCGTCAGGATAAAATATCACAAT